AGGGGACTGTAGTCATCTGGTGACACTGTTATGTAAAGTTGTGTGTCATCTGCATAAGTATGGTAGGAGATGTTATGATATTCCATAATCTGAGCAAGAGGGAGCATATAGATGTTGAACAGAAGAGGCCCAAGAATGGACCCTTGAGGAACTCCACATGTAATCTTTGTTCACACAGATTCATAATTGCCAGTGACACAAAGAAATCCCTGTCTTGTACATAAGATTTAAACCAATTTAGCGCAGTGCCAGAAAGTCCCACATGTAATGTATTAATCAATATTATTTCTCTCTTTCTCTCCACAGCTCAAAGCAGACAGTGACTGATTTTAGTATTTTTCACTTAAATGAAATGAAGTCAAAGAATATTGTGGTTTCATCTTGTTTTCATTCATTGATGTAAAGTACACTGGAGTTATTGGTCCAGTTAACTGGGAATATAATTTGGGAAAGTCACACAGTTATGATACCTAATAACCACTAATTGTGTTAATGCCAAATACACCTACTTATATGTTTATTCCAACTATTAATCCTTTTATTGGTAAGGATATGTCCATGTCAAAGTATGCTTGGGCAAGATGCTGAACCCCAGATTGCTCCCAATATTATATGCGCCCTGTGTGGTACTGATGGCATTGGTGTGAGTGTGTTAGAATGGGTGAGAGTTTAGCTGCATACTGCTTAGCACTTTTATCTCAAGTGCTTTATTCTTTGTAGAAAAATTAAACATGAAAATGTATGAACAAAAAGATGCTATAAATGCAGCTATTTCAAACAAAAAAGGCTGCTATAAGGGCAGCTATTTTAAGAACAAGGAAATAAAACAGCTATTTCAAACAAAAAAATTCAGCTAAAATAATTGGCTACATATTGATCTCTGACCACTCTGCCATTAACACTGTCCGGGAACACTGCCGGATTGTCCGAGTCCATTTCTGGTGCTACTCTGGGAGCCCTTTCCCTCCGGATCGTGGCTATGTTGTGGAGGACTGTGCAGGCAACGGTGATCTTGCAGGCTCTGTCTGGGCTGACCCTCAGCTGTTGGAGGCACTGGAACCTTGCTTTGAGAAGGCCAAATGCCATCTCAATCCTTGCCCTGGTTCTCGCATGGGCAAGATTGTAGCCTCTCTGTGCCATGGTGTGGGGGTCTGGGAAGGGTGTGAGGAGGAATGCCTGGCATCCATACCCTTTGTCACCCAGCAGTATGCCAGCGAATTTACAAGATGCAAGATGTAATTGTTATAGAGTAACACTTTTGACACTTAATGATCAAGGTGCTTATCAATCAAATATGTGGCTTACCTTGTGACAAGCGCTGGTGATCATCTGTAACAATAAGATGTAGTCCATTAATAATGTCATTTGATGCACATACTTAATTTATTTAGTGACAGTAACCATAGGTCATTCTTACCTGGACATTGATGCTGTGGAACGATTTCCTGTTCACAAAATCCCCTTCGTGAGGACCTGAGGGGCGTTTGATTCTCACGTGAGTGCAGTCCAGCGCACCGATGACATTAGGGAAAGCTGTAACAAGAATACTGTTCTAACTATTAGAGGCAAAATTCATGACCTCCTGCCCTCAGATGGTAGGCCTACCTATCTAACCTCAAACACAGCTGTAGAATCTAATATATATTTAGATTGCTTCTCCCCAATTTCTCTTCAAGAATTGACCGCAGTGATTTCTTCATCTAAATCATCAACGTGTCTCTTAGACCCCATCCCAACTAGGCTACTTAAGGAGGTCTTTCCTTTAGTTAACACTCATATATTAGATATGATCAATATATCC